GTAGGGAAGCTCCATGTTTAGCAGCTTGAGGAACCTCCAGACAGCTTTCCATAGTGGTTGTACTAAAAATATGGAACGCTTCACGAATTTGCGTGTCATCCTTGTGCAGGGGCCATGCTAATCTTCTCTGTATCATTCCAATTTTAGTATATGTGCTGCTGAAGCGAGCACATTGTGTGATTTTTTTAACATGAAGATTAGTTATGAACCACTTTCTCCCTTAAATGGGATCTAAAATAAGAGTTCTGTATGTTTACATTACAAACTAATAAAATGGACATTCCATATTTAATCATACAAATGTGTGTATGTTTTTATTTTATTCTGTTTATATATATCATATCATTATTCATCTTTGACTCTGTAAGCTTTCTCCTTGCAGGTGTAGTCCCTTTAAAATTCCCTTTGTTGTAGCCATTCTTTTTACACTATCTGCTTGCAGACAACTTTAATTTTCTCTTTTGGATTCTTTTATAGACGACGTCCTAGCTCAATGAGCTTAAGACTATCACAAACAAACCCTTAGTCCGACAAATTGTCAGCTTTGCTGAGCCCTTGCGGTGAGGCCTCCCAGCAGAGGGACTGTGGGGTTGTAACTACACAGAAGCAAAAATTATAAAGCTTTTGTCTCTGGGAGAGGTGGGGGTGGAGGTAGGTAAGAAGTAAAGCAAGTTTAAAAAAAAAAAAAAGTAAGCCAAGTAGTGCTTTTTTTTTATTATCATAATAGTTTACAAGTAGTGTTTTTACAGACGCAGTACAACAGCGGTCTCAGCGGCAATGCGGAGAGGAGCTGATCCAGCGGAGACTGGGTCTTTCTGCGGCTGCGTCACTGTCAGAGTGACTTAGCACCTCCAGGCTTGCTTCGTTTTTACTGCATGATTTCAAGTGGCATGTTTCTGATCGCTTTTGATTTTAGGAAAAGAGAAATCAGTAAAAAAGTCATAGTCACTCAAAGAACAAGTTACTAGGACATTTTACAGCTGCTTGGTGACCCTGAGAGAAATCATCTTCACCATTCACGGTGAGGCTGGCTTTGCGCACACTGGTTCTGACGCACAGACAGGCACACTTGTACTTTCTCTCTCCAAGGTAATTTTTACTTTTTAGCAATAAGCCCCCATATAGAAATCCTGAACCAACAAATTTAGTCATATTTTTAAAGGTTTATTTATTTATGCATACAAGAACTAGGGTACAGGCCAGAGGTGCAGGGGTGGTGAGAGGATTCACCAGAGACAGAGCGGGGAGCAGAACAGGCAGACTGACTGAAATATACTGCTGAAGGGAGCAGTTGGGGGTCTTCTGCACCCTGGGGGTCACTCCCTGAACTTCTGCTGCAGTGGCTGCAGACAGCTTCAAAGTGCTGCGCTTTAATCCCTTGTGCCACCAGGGAGGGCCCCTCAGTCATCTTTTTTTTTTTTCCTTTACTTTTTGTGACCAAGGTACTAAACCCGGGAGCCAGCCCCATACTTCTAATGCGAGTCCTTGCCAGGAGATGGCAACCCCTCCAGGCTGCCTCCTCCAGGCTATCTCCTGGAGGTGGTAGGAACTGGAAACCCTGCTACTAACCACTGGCAGAGAATTGGCCGTGGGAATGGAGGGACCGGGCCATCCATCCCAGGCCAAGGCAGCTCCACAGCACTAATGTGGCCGAGGTCCACTGGAGATCCAAATCCATAGATTATAGAAACTGTGCCTCTGGCTGGTCTCCCTCAGTCCCCAGAACCTGACTCACCCAGCCTGCTTGCACTAGACAATCTAAATTTAAGTCTGTAAAGTACATCAGTAAACAGACACACATCTTTGTATTTATGTGAAGAGTTTGACTTGTGCTGGGCCTCCCTGGTGGTGCAAGGGGTTAAAGCACAGTACTGTGAAGGTGTCTGCAGCCATTGCAGCTCTTCTGTCCCGGGCCAGGGAGGTGACCCACACAGTGAGGCAGACCTCTCCTGTCTCCCCTCTGCAGTGTATTTCAGTCAGTCTGCCTGTTCTACTCCCCACTCTTTCTGGTGAATCCTCTCATCTCCTGCACCTCTGGCCTGTACCCAGTTCTTGTATGCATAAATAGATAAGTCTTTTTTTTTTTTAAAGATTTATTTATTTATGCATACAGAACTGGGGTACAGGCCAGAGATGCAGGGGTGGTGAAAGGATTCACCAGAGACAGAGTGGGGAGCAGAACAGGCAGACTGTCGAAGTACATTGCTGAGGGGAGCAGTGGGCGGGTCAGGAGAGGTCTGCCGTGCCATGTGGGATCACCTTTGGGGCTGGTGGGGCTTGAACTCATGCAGAAGTGGCTGTAGTATTGTGCTTTAACCCGCTGTGCCACCAGGGAGGGCCCAGATAAGTCTTTTTTTAAAAAAAGAGTTTGACTTGCATGAAGTCAGGCACAAAGCTAGATTATCTTGAAGAATGAACCTTGGCAGTGTACCATAAAAAGATTACAATCATATTTGGAAATGATTAGAGGTGTGTTTTAAGAGGTTATGACCTCTTCATAGGTTGAGCTGGAAAGCAGTTTCACTGGAATGTTCATGTCTGGCTCTCTCATCTCACACAGGAGAAACTATTTCTAACTCAGAGAGGTCAAGTGACCAGCCAAGGTCACACAGCACTGCCAGAGTGAATGTCTGTGCATGGATGTGACGTTGTTTTTGGAGTTCGGGGTCCTTGGGTTCACTCTGGGAAAGGTTTCACCAGAGCTCCCCTTTCAGCGGCACACAGCGAGATTCTCCATGAGACAGAGACTCAGTTATATTTGAAAAGTAGATTTATTAGAAAGAGACAGGTGAGGAAAAGACACTTGCATAGGCACAAGCAGGCAGGAAGAGCTGCCCCGGAAGGAACAGGCTTGCAGAGGGAGAGGCCTGCATGGTTGCCGGCAGGCGGCCTTAGAGAGCGGCCTCAGCAGGGGGAGGTCAGTGCCGAGGAGTCCCAGCATGGTACAGGTCACGGGCAGTCTCGGGAGGCTGCTGCCCGCAGAGGGAGAGAGCAGGTGGGAAGAAGCACCTGCACAGGCCAGGTGGGCAGAGGAGTGGCTGCCCCAGCTGGTGGAGAGACTGCCCTGGTGTAGACTTCTCTTTGGGAGGGGCTCACTCCCGGTGAGCCTAGGTTGGTTGACTTTGAATAGAATCTGAAAGGTCCAGAGATTCCTGATGAGCTTCATCTCCTTGTCCTTATCTTTCACCTTCTGGGTCAGAGCTTCAGGCACAGCCCCCAGCTGTCTGTTATCTGCTGGGACCTCCTGCAGACACCCCAACATCCCAGACAGTGGCACCGGGCTTTGTTGCCTGAGGACCTTGATGTATGGCTGTGTCAGTTGCTGCACTGGCCCCTTCTGCCTGTCCCCTTTGCGTGACTCAGTCTTGTGATGCCCCCCTGCACTCCTGCCTTCATCAGATCCTTCGGGGGGCGGAGGGGCCTGGGGTGGGTGTTGCTAAACAATGAAGAGCCTTTTTCTCCTCTTTGCAGAGATTTTTAAATTTTTATTTATTTTCCTTAAGGTTCTGACAAGTAGCCCTGCTGCCAGTGTCTGTGTCTCAAAAAATTAAATCCTCCCCAGATCTTATTTTGTTTGGCCTCATCTCCCGGAGGCTCCCAGCTTTCCGGTGTTTGTGAAAACTGGCCAGCCTGGTCCGGATCCAGCCAGCCCCCGCCTCTTGGGAGAGTGCAAAGACCAGCTGACTCCCTGTGTCTGCATCATGTGACCGCTCCTACACCCATTCTGCTCCCTGTCCAGGCCAAAGTGGGTGCTCCCAGGGGCTACTTTTGTGAGGGGTACCAGGTAGGTGCCCCAACATGGCCTGCCCACTGCTGGGAGAGTTAGGGAACACCAGACAGGCACTGGGGACAGATTCGGGAAGATCAGATGTTGGGGATTATGCGCTGACCCAGGGCTCCCTAGGCCATGGGGACCCCAAATGTGTTGCCTCCTCCAGCAGCGTCACACCACCCCCCAGCCCTCCCTTCCCCTTTCCCCTACCTTCTGACGGCCCTTCGTTCCCCTGTTCTTTGGCCTTCTTTTCCCCTCAGCTACAAACTTTTCCCCTTCCTCTGCTGACTTAGCAGCCTACCGTGGGCGGGGAAGGATTAATCAGTGACAGGAAGCCGCCTCTTTCAGAGCAGTGGCCAGCTGTGGTCAGCACAGTCTGCAGGCCAGCACCAGGAGTCTGTCCACCTTCCCGCCTGCTACTCACCCCCGCTCCTGCCATGGGGTGCTTTAGGGCCCTCCTTTTCCTGCTGGGGGCTCTGGGGGCTGTCGCTGAGATCTGTGGTGAGTAACCAGATGTTTCTTCCTGGGTCTTTGGAGGGAGGACCATCTTGCCCAAGCCCCTCTTTACCTAGCTGGGGAAACTGAGACTCTGGCATCGTGGTCATGGTAACAGGGTGCTCCACCCTGTTACAGGGGTGGTAGTGACTTACTAGTGCCCTGGTGCTTCCAGGGCAGTTGGGGTTTAGCCGAACCTCTGCCTCTGGCATGCCGTATGCGAACGCTCATATGTCTGCCCCCTCGCCAGATAAGACCACCTCCATTAATTCAGTCACTTGTTTATTTATCCACTCAAGGTGCATTGATTGAGCCTTCTCTGTGCCAGGGCTTGTGCTGGGCTTGGAGGGAAAGAGAGCAAGACAGTCTGGTCCCTGCTGCCCTGGGGCTCCCATTCTAGTGCCCGGAACTGACCAAAGAAGTCAAGGGGCAAATGGGTGCTGTGGCAAGGGGGGTGCTGTGGCGGGGGGAGGTGCTGTGGTGTCCAGGGATGGCAGCCAGTTGCAAGGGAATGGGCCAGTGTCGGGGATCAGAAGAGAGGTCAGGAGAGGTTTTCTCAGGGCCAGGAGGCAGCAAAGGACCTGAGACTGGAGAGGAGGGAGGGAGCTGGCGAGGGAAGGCGTGGTCCCCACTCCTTTTATTACCTGGTGAATCTGCCTGGCTCTGTCCTTGTCCTTTGGGATTGCTGTCAGCAACCTCTCCTCACAGTCCAGCTCCTCTTATCACTTGTAAAACTGGGGCTGACTCACCCCTGGAGGTCAGGTGAGGTAGGGCCTCACAAGTTTGAAGAACAGGGAGGGGCAAGAGGAGGAGGACTCAGAGGAAGACAGGCTGAGCCAGGCAGCTACCGAGACAGCAAAGGAGAGCGCACGCTTCCACAAACCGCATCTTTCGTAGCCACAGACTCTGTGACTCGTGGGGATCAGGCATGAGGTGTGGCCCCAAACAGTGGGGGGGTGGGGCTGTATGAGTGGAACCTTGGGTTCATGCCAGCAGGCCCAAGGGGCAAGCAACGCCCTCTGCCCACAGTCCCCTAGCAGGGAGGGGTCGGTGCCCACATCCTCGCTCTTGGAACAGCAGAGGAGGATGGAGGATGCTGTGGCCCCTGGGAGGCACATGGTGGGGAAAGTCCAAAGTGCCTTCAGGGCAAATTACTCTGCACAGGCCCCTTGGCCCAGGGAGGGAGGGGTCCACTGGAGCTGGGAATCCCTCTGAGGCTTCTGTGCCCACCGGCATTTGGTTCCACGGTCCAGGTAAACCCCACGGCTCACAAAGAGGTGGTTCCAACGATGCCCCAACAGCGCACCTGTCAGGTCTGGCACCCAGACAGAGGTGGCCAGACCAGCATTATTTTGAGGTCTGCATACAAGAACCTTGCCAGCCACTCAGTGGGCAGTCTGCAGGACCTCTGAAATTGGATGTGGACTCTGTTATCTGTTATCAGTGTGGATTGAAGTGTTTGTAAGCGGGAGCAGAGGCCAGAGAGCAGGGGTTTTGCAGACAGGCCTGTCTTAGGCTCTGCAGCCTCACAGAAGACCTGTACAACTTTGAACTTCTGTTTCCTCTCTTGTGCAAAGTGATCACAACAGCACTGACATAAGAGCGGGCGTGGTGCCTGGGGCACAGCATGCAGCCTGGCATCCAGTCTCTCTGTCACCCTGGTGACAGAGTGGTTGGTTGGCACCAGCTGCCTCTGCCCTGGGCCTGCCACCTCTCCCTTGCCCACTCCAGCATCTCTCTGAGGATGAGGTCCCTCCCCTCCCTTCTCCCCCACCACCCTTCATTATGACCATACAAGGTAAGGGAAAGGAAGTTCCTTGCTGGTGGCTCGTTTCTGAGACCTCACTCGCCCTGTTCACTTTCCTAAGAAATACCAGAGGTCGACAGCAAGCTAGTAGAGAGACTGGGCCAGCACGTCTTGCCCTGGATGGACCTGCTCTCCCTGGAGCACCTGAACCCCAGCCTCTATGTGGGCCTGCGTCTGTCCCGCCTGCAGGCTGGGGCCAAGGAGGCCGTCTACCTGCACAACCTCAAGCTCAGTTACCAACAAAGCCTCCTGGGGTATGGCTGCATACTCTCTTCTCCTCTCCCATGTCCTGCTCACACCCTAAGAGACAGGGAGCTGCATTCTGGTTTGGGTCTGTCACTGTTTTGTTGGGAGACCGTAGGCAAGTTTTGTGTCCCCTGTGTCTTTCTCCATCTGTACAATGAAGAGTTTGGTTTGATTAGATGGCAGATGCCAATACAGATGGCATACAGATGCTGCTATTACACCAACCTAAACCTGAGACAGACATCACAAATCCATAACTGCACTCTTCATCCTGAACCCAGAAGCATCTCATGCTTTTTGCTCCCCTCCTATGCCTGAAGCAGACATTACTAATCCATAATTGCACTCTTCATACTGAGCCCAGAAGCAGCATCTGACTATCCCAGTGCTTCCATTCCAGGGAGTTGACGGGAAGGATTGTTCTGAGGTCCATGGGAGTCTGAATGAGATGAAGAATCAGGAGCAGCCATGAAGCAGCTCCTGCTTGGATTCCCTGTCAGAAAATTAACCATCATGGGGTACACTGCTGGCTGTGGGGAAGAGGACTAGTCAGAGGCTTCCTGCTCAGGAGTGGGAGAGGAAAGAAAAGGGACAGTATGTGGACTGAATGGTGGGGCAGGTCCAGATCACTTGGATGTCTGAGCCCAGAGTTTGTCCTTGAGTTTAACTTCTCATTTTTATGAAAAGTTGTGGTGTGCACCTCACATCTTACCCACCTCATTACCTCTGCTTTTGGCGGTTCTAGCAAAGTTCCCAGCTGCTAGGCTTTTTCCCACTTTGTGGTTTTTCAGGAACCCCCAAGGCAGCTTTACCAGCACAGCCCTTTCTCATGTTGCTCACTGGTCTCGTCCTAGGTCTGCCTCTGGTGATGATGACGACGGAGACGTCCGGGCCAAACCCTCCCTGGGCCAACTGGCCCTCTACCTGCTCGCTCTCAGGGCCAACTGCGAGTTTGTCGAGGGCCGCAAGGGGGACAGGCTGGTCACACAGCTCAAGTGGTTCCTGGAGGAAGAGAAAAGGGCCATTGGTGAGAGCACGCTCTGCGGGGAAGCAGCGGGGAGGGTTCTGCACACAGCACTCGCCGCCGAAGTATTGTGCCAGCGTTTCTCCTTGGGCATCCTGGGTTTCTCCCCGTGAATCTTTGGGGTTTCTCCCTGGGCATCTTGGGTTTCTCCCCAGGGACCTTCTAAGTCTCCATCCTACCTAGCTCACTGTCCCCCGAATGGCTCAGGTTGGCCTCAGCAGCCATCCTTGATGAAACCATTCCTGCAAGCTGCACACATTCGAAGTCCTGCTGCTCAGCCCGCCAGCTGGACCTGACTGTCCACGTCTGGGACTACTGCCTAGCCTCCTTCCTGCTTACTCCTTAGCATGGCTCTGCTAACTCTCCTGCCTCCTGTAAGCCCCAGCACAGGACAACCAGAGCGAGCATTTTAAATAGAAATCTGCTCTTGTTAGCGTTGCCTGCGCCTGCAGGAGCTGCTTACTCCTGGGTTTCCAGCCCTGGCTCGTGATGTTTGCTCTTCGCTCTCCAGGGTCTGCTTGTCCACTCTCTAGCTGACCGCCTCACCTTTTTGGGGGTCCGGACACTGGCCTTCTCCCAGCTTGCAAGCAGGCTCTTCCCCCAATTGTCTGGAAGGTTCCTTCCCCTTCTGTTCCCTCTGCCTTCCTTTAGCTGCCCCTGTGCCACCCCCCTCCCCATCACCGCTTCCCTAGGGACCCTGCCCTCACCTCCCGCCTACTCCAAGACCCTTTCCATCATGTGCCCCACAGACGTCAGTCCTCACTTGCATGGCTTGTTTATCGTCAGAGCTCTACTGTGCTGTGTCCAGCCCGTGGTCACTATATTCCTCCCTCTGAACACAGCACCTGCTCGTACTAACTAGTGGGGCTCGCACAGATGTGTTAAAGAAATGTAGAAAAACACAACCCAAAACACGGTGTCAGGCAGTGCAGTCAATGGATTTCTGTGCAGTGGCGGGGTTCAGAGAGACAACGCCTCTGGCCCAGTAAATACCCCCACATCATGATTTCCTCCCTCCCAGGTCACAATCACAAGGGTCACCCCCACACCAGCTACTACCAGTACGGCCTGGGCATCCTGGCCCTGTGTGTCCACCAGAAGCGGGTCCATGACAGTGTGGTGGGCAAGCTCCTGTATGCTGTGGAACACAGCCAACACCTCCAGCAGGGTCATGTCCCCGTGGGTGAGTGAACCTTCCCCACCTCGGTCGGGCAGGCCCCCAGGCGCAACTTCTTGCCTTAGCCCTTGGCCTCCTTATCCGGGCCCTGAAGGGCCCATGGTGAGGGCTGTGTGGGGCAGCTCCTTATCCGGGCCCTGAAGGGGCCATGGTGAGGGCTGTGTGGGG